TGGTTATTGTGGTGGCTGTGGTGGGCCACCTACGTGGAGGTGATGTTTTTGGCATGCTTCTTGGCACTGGCGGTGTGCCTGGTTGTGGGGGAGGTCCAGTCCCCTTCTCCATGATCTGGGCCTGAGTCTTTTCATCAAATTACACCCCCTGCAGTTCTATATTCCTGACCAGTCTCCTCTGAGTGGTCCGACACTGATTGGGATGCAGATCAGCTGTCCTTGCTGTGCCCCAGCGTTCCCCTGGCGGGCCCGTCTCCCCTACCACCTGTGCTGCAAACACTTCCCATGGGACAGGCTGTGCCCCAGACCCTTGTGATGACTCACCGGCCTCTGAGTGGCTCCATCTTTTCAGTTGTTGTGGCTCCTTGCTCCTATGTGGGTCCACGAGAACCCTATTAGTCGTCTTGCTGGCCTGGGGGCCACTGAGGCCCTCTTCTCTCCTGCCGCCTCCAAGCAACTTCATACGAAGGGCACAGCTGGGGCTTCATAAATTAATTTTTAAAAAGCTGCCTATACTCCTTGGCTCATGGCTGCATCACTGTGGCCTCTTCTTCCATCATCTTATCTCCTTCTCTGAGGCTGGCCCTCCTGCCTCTTAGAAGGACTCTTGTGATTACCCTGAGCCCACCTAGATAATCCAGGATAATCTCCTCATCTCAAAATTCTTAACTTAATCACGTTTGCAAAGTCCATTCACAGGATTCTGCTGAGGATGGGAGGGTGCAGGAAGATCCTTCCCAGCTGGGAATGAATCAGGAGGGCTTCATGGAGGAGGTGGCACTTGAAATACGCCTTGAAAGATGAATAGAACTCAACTGCAGTAGACTGGGAAGGCAGAGGTTGGCAGAGGGAGGGCAGGGCTTTCCAGTTCACCCTCCCCAGGAAGTCTGTAAGCAAAGGCCTGGAGGTGGGAAAATGCCCACCACTTCCCGCAGGAGCTGAGTCACGTTGGGCTGGGACAGGAGTAGGGACTTGAGAGCAGCAGGAATGAAATGAAGTTGGGGAATGTGTTGGAATGAGGGGACCTACTAGGTCTGCATGGCTGTGAGTGCCTGAGGCCTTTGAACTTTGGTGGCAGTTTGAAACCTTGAGGTGGGGTTGGGAAAGGGGTGGCATTTTATTTTATTTTTCTGTTAATTAGCAAATAAAATTATGTTGAATTTTTTTCCCCCTAGAGAACACATTCCTTTTTTTTGTGGTATAATTTGTGTTTCCAGTGCTGGTACAGTTACAAAATGCA